TTCTAAATAACGAGCGCGTTTTGTTAATGAAGTTTTATCCGAGGATAACGATAGTGATTCCGACTGATCGAGGATTCGTCTTCCGATGACAAGACACGACGGCGTTAATGGTGGTTCCGATATCTCTTCACCAACGTATGTTAAGGGTCTAGAATTTATGATTCCTTCAGTTTCGATCAATGCTGTTTCCAGTTCTTCGTACGAAAGCTTTGCGTTTCCCAGCGTTTTTCTGAGACATTTTTTCGTTAATTTTACGCATATCTCCCACCAGCCACCCCACCAGCTGGCAGTAGGAACGTTGAATTTCCATCGAATGTTCATATTTTGCGCATACATTTGAACGTTTTTATCCAGAAATGTTTTTCCATTGTCTGAAACGATAAGTTTACTTAGTCCTCTCCGAGCTGTAAAACGTTTAAGCGCGCGAATGAATGTTTCTGCGAAAAGATCTGGAACTAACTCAAGGTGTATTGCTCGCGTATTTGCACAACTGAATAATGCAATGTAGCATTTATTCATACGATCAGTTTTGGTGTAGATATCCTTTACATATAAAGGACCTGCAAAATCGACTGCAACGTTGGTAAATGCTGCATCTTCTGATAAGCGATATGCAGGTAACGGTGGCGCATTTGGTGTTTCGTATGGTTTTCCATGTATAGCTTTACATCTGGAACATTTCGCAATTAAGGATTTTACAATCTGACGACCTTTCGTAATCCAGTAATTGGATCGTACTTGCGCAAGTGTTTCATTGACTCCATTGTGTTTGACTGTTAAATGGCTATGCCAGATAACCAATTTTGTAAAATGATGCTGACGTGGCAATAATACGGGGTGTTTACTGTTATACGAAATCGATGCATTTTGAAGTCTACCCCCTACTCTGATTATTCCTTCTTTGTCGACAAAACATCCGAGGTTATTTCTAATTTCTTTATCATTTCCAGATAGATCAAAGACCTTTTGCACTTCTAAGTGCCACATGATTTTCGCTTCGTTGACTTTGGACAAAAAGTCGTCACTTATGTCTGTTTGTAAATTTTTAACCTTTCCTTTTAAAATTGCCACGAATTTCAATACGAGCGCAGTTACCCGTATTAAGCGAATGAAGCTACTGTAATTTACGCATGGAATGATTTTGTTCAGATTTAGCTGATCGTTATTTTCAGTTACGACAACGTTTGTATTAATTTCGATTTGCTGCGAGGGCGCGATTTCATTTACAGGCCAAAATTCCGAGTCGTTTTCCAAAAACTGTGGCCCGTTCCACCAAAACTCGTTTGATTGCATTTTAGAACAATCAATGCCTCTTGAAGCGATATCAGCTGGATTGTTAGACGTTGGACAATATCGCCAATTTTTCTTTTCGGTTAAATCGCAAATTTCATGCACTCGATTTCTTACAAATACTTGTTTGTGTTCTTTGTTACCTAAAACCCAGTGAAGGACAACCTGTGAATCTGTCCAACAAAAGATTGATTCTAAGTTAATTGTGCTAATCAAGGCATTGTGGACTGACTTTATAAGACGCGAAAGTGTTACTGCGGCCATTAGTTCAAGTCGCGGTATTGTTTCACCTTTCATAGGTGCTACTTTGGTTTTCGCACAAATTAATCGGCTTATTACTAGTTTAGATGATGATTCGACGCGAAGGTATACACAAGCCCCATATGCATATTGACTTGCATCAGAAAAGCCGTGTAGTTGAATCGAAATAGCGTCATTACTGATAATATCTCCCATTAGGCTTCGTGGAAATTCAATTGGTGTTGTGTTTGCAATGTTGTTTACGATTTTGAGCCAATTATTGCAAATGTCGTCAGGGAGTTTTTCATCCCAGGCTGTTTTCAATTTGCACAATTGCTGAAATATCATTTTAAGCGGAAGAATTACCGGCGAAAGTACTCCGAGCGGATCAAAGAACCGCGCGGTAGTTCTTAAAATATTGCGCTTGGTTACTTCAACAGTACTGCTAGCGGCTTCGATAAACTCCGAAAAGTCAAACACAAATTTGTCGTTATTTCTGTTCCAAGGCATTCCTAGGATTTTAGATTCGGTACCATTGCATACTGTATTAGAGATCGATTTTGTGAAGGTTTCATCATCGTCGAAAATGACATTACTTTCCTTCGAATTTGCGGTTTTACTATGCATATTTTCAGCTAGTTCAATGCGTTCAATAAGCGAATCACTGTTAGAGGCCCATTTCCTCATATTAAACCCTCCAGAAGCAAAACAAAGTTTGAGTTTACGATAAAGTTCGAAACTTTCCTCCTCAGTATCTAATGAAAACGCAAAATCGTCGATATATAGAGATTTTTCGACGGTTTGCACAAATTCGTTATCTGACTGTCGATAGTTTTCAAGGTGGTGACGTACAGTAGCATTAAGAACATACGGTGAACTCGTAAGTCCAAAAACTAAACGTGAAAACCTCAATGTTGCAAGCTCAGGATCTTTTTCAAAAACGTTATCGTACCACAAGAATCGGAGAAAATTCCTGTCGTTTTCTTGTATAATGATATTCAGAAATGCCTTTTCTAAGTCACCAATTAACGCTATTCGTTTAGCTCTGAGTCTCAAAAGTACATCAAAAATGAGAGGTACCAGATTTGGGCCTGGTTCTAAGCAATCGTTTAAACTTACTTCGCCGTTTTGTTTAGAGCTTGCGTCGTAAACGACTCGAAGTTTTGTAGTTTGCCGCTCTTCTCGAACTACTTCCCTGTGAGGATTATAATACACAGATCCAACAGGAGCTGAGCATAACTCCGTATCCTCTACCTTTTCTACAACACCGGAATTTAGTTGTTCAGAAATTACTTCGTTGTATTGATGCAAAACATCGGGTTTTGAATTTAAGCGTTTTAACAGGCTTTCGAGACGTTTACGTGCTACTTGATAATTGTCTGCAATTACAGGATGATCTTCCTTGAATGGGAGCGAAATCTCATACTTTCCGAGTTTTTGATTAAAATGAATTTTTCCCTCTAATGGATTTTCGCTACAAGTTAGTTCTTGCTCATTAGACTTGATACCCATAGATTCGATATCCCAGAATTTGTGAAGTTCGTTTATCAAATGTTTATCGCTATCAACGACAATATTGTCAGTTTTAAGGACATGTGAAATGATAATGTTCGATGAGTGTTCATTTGTTGACGGTATTTCTACGGGACCGTTAAGTACATACCCGAATCTGGTAAGTGTAGCTACGGGGCCATAACCTTGCTCCCCCCGTACTACGTGATCTAACATGAACTGCCAAATGTAGTCCGCCCCAATCAATATGTCAACTTCAAATTCATCCATGCCGCTACCTTTATCAGCTAAAGGCAAATCTTTTATGTGGGGATATTTCAGTTTGGCTACGTCTATGGCTTGATTAGCAACCGGGCTACAAATATTGTCTACCACAAAAGCATTAATAAACACAGTTAGGTTATCTGCTCCTTCGATAGCAATTTGGATTGAATCACACGTTTTTAATGTCCCACTAACGTTACCGAATTCTTTAATGATTACCTTTTCTGTGCTTATGGTGGGCAACTGTAACTTATCCCTTAGCCTGCGTGAAATATACGATTTCTGGGAGCAAGAGTCTAAAATAAGTCTTACAACGCATTCTTCTGTGTTACTGTCTACTCTTCTTACTTTAGCTCTTGCAGTTTGTAATAAGACAGCGGTATTTGTGGTGTTATTGCGAGACGCTAGCAAAGTACTTACCGATGGTTGTGTGGGCGGTGACTGAGGCGCGGCGACGGTTTCCTTGTACGCTGTTTCTCTTGCTTTTGCAAAACTTGCGGAACTGCCAGCTTTTGAGCCACAAATTGCAACATGGTGCTTTCCTTGGCATTTGAAACATCTAGTATTGCTTCTGCAGAATCTGCTAACATGTCCACCACGTAAACAAACAAAGCATCTCCGTTTCTCGCGTAATGTCTGCTTCCGCGCGTCAGGATTCGAAACCGTTGTGCAGCTCGAAGAAAAATGTTTCTGCCCGCAAAATAAACAAGATGGTATTCCATCGTTTGCACTCCTTTCTCGTTTCTGGTTGTTGATTAGCAGTGTAGCTGCTGTGGATTGCTGAAAGGATGGTTTTGATAAAACTGTTTTTGTATTGGTAGCACTACCAATAGGTGCATAAACGCACTTTTCTCGAAGTGAAATTTCTTCACCGAACGCTAATAATAGTCCTTCTAAATCCCATTCATCCGATAGTTTCCTCGAGATAAGAAGTCTTAACTCTACCGGTATTTTTGACATTATGATAGGCGTCAAGATAGTTCCGTAGCTTTCTGCAGATACACCAATTCCATTTAAGCTGCGAACAGTGCTTTCAACTTTGTCGTACATTTGACGCAATTTCTTCAAATCCGCTCCGTTTTCAGTCCTTTGTAAATCCATTAAGGCTTCAATATGTTTTGAAATAATTATTTGACGATTTCCATATCGTTTTCGCAATAAGTCTAGAGCTATTTGATAATTTTCACTTGTGAGTGGAAGACCTGATATCGTTTTAGCGGCTTCGCCAAGCAGCGATTTCTGTAAGTATTTGAATTTGTCGATAGGAGCCAAGCCTTGAGATTCATCAATTGTTGAGGAAAAACTATCCCAAAATGATGGCCATTCTGTCGGGTCTCCATTAAACACCGTTAAAGGTAATTTTGGTAGCTTCACTTTTCCTGCTGTGGCAAAACCTTGTGATTCGAAGCTGCGATTAAGTTCATGTTGCGGGGCGATCGTGTCCTTTCTGCTAACTAGATCTATTTGACATATGATGTCTTCCGTTTCTTCTTCCAAATCGCTACGATCTACTATTTCTTTCTCGATATCGACTTCTTCCAAAAGATCCTCAATTTCTGTATCTAGTGTCGTGATAATCAATCGTTTTCGTTCCAGTGTGTTTTTGATTGATTCGAGTTTCGATTGTTGTTCCGGTGGAAGATTTTGACCGCGCGGAGGCAACAGCTCTCGGGCCTTCGCGACATTTTTGCGAACAACCAGGCGATGACCGTTTCGTGCCTGAATTTTCTTCTTTAATGTTTCTTTTTCAGACATTACAGCTCCCGAGTCACGGCACCAAAATGTTGGGTAGTTGGCTGAGCATCCTTGTAAGGATACACGGAAGGTCCTGCGTCCTTAGTTTCCAACATTTACGACAATTGTAAATATTAAGTCCAGCTATAATGACTAAAAGATTGCCAGAAGACGATGATAATAAAACAAACAGTTACATTTTAGACTGTGATGATTTGTGAATGAATAAATGAAATACAGCGTTTCGTTGTGATAATGCGTTCGTTCGCGATGATTTCAGGCGACAACTCTCTCTAACAACTTTAAAGATAACACCTTATACAGAAAAAATAAGAAGGCCCTTACGTAGGCGCTTGTACATAGGGTGACCAACTAAACAAATTCAACAGTCCCCGACCATCAAGAATGCTGTGCATCGGGGATCATCACCGACGGATTACGATAAATGAAAACCAGGAGAGTTTACGAAACATGACGCGACAGGTCCAGACGAACTGAATTCGTTTAGAAGCGTGTTATAAACGTTAATTATTGCACTGTATACCAGTAGCAGCAATAAAAAATTACCACAATCTACGTCACGGTGTCATGTGATTCATTTCCCGCCATAATTTGAAAAAATATTTCAACAACACTCTCATACAGCATTTTACTTTAAGTTAAAAGAAAAAAATTTGGCGCCAAATCGTGTCACTTGTCAAGATTTTCATTTATATTGAAAGTTGGCTCGTTTTTTAAAGCCCAAAGAACTCCCAGTGTTTTTTTCCTTTATTGAAGCGAGGTTATCCCAATATAGAGAGTTTATGGCCTAGATGTGATGACGATGTAGTTCTCGTTACAAATTCAATAGCGTATGTGGTAAAATAATGACAAGGATTACACATAATTAATCAAAATACACTACGAAGGTTCCAGACTGTCCGATACGTAATTGGGCGAAGGATAAAGTAAGTCAGATTCTGCACAAAGTTAAGCATAAACACGTATTTTTTTCATAAGAAACTACGGTCCGGTGCTGGTTAGCCTGCGTGCAGCCTCTACTATTAATGCAGAGGAAGACACGGGAGGAGGAAAGAGCGCAAATCTCCCTAGTGCTGGTAGGCAGTTTCTTAAATTTTCTGCCCATTTTGCTATCAAAAGTTTCTTACATATTTCTTAAATTTCTTTAATGAACTTTTTAAACGTGCTTCCAAGGTAAAGTAAACAGTTCACTCACATTCAGAAATAGATTAACAAAGTGATCAAGGAATTTTGTTTTCCTAGAATGACTAACTCTGTTGAGATCTGTAAACAGTTAAGCTCATTGAAATTCATCGTCAAGTTGATGTCAAAACAAACTTATTTAATGGAAACTTCTTAAGTGCACAATTTACTGAGAATGAACGCAAACTGCATGTCAAGTGTAGTGTTGCAATATACAGTGATGTTCAATGTCAAGACTGTTTTGAATGTCAACTCGGAAAATTAAAATTGCAAATTATAAATGTTTCTTAGCTTTTGTTAATTTGGGTAGGTTTTTTTTTAACTTTCAAACAATTGAGCCTACCGTATCTTATAACCTGTTTCTTATAAAAAAATTAGTGTGTTATACGTAGTTTATTCAACTTTCAGAAACACTGAATCGAACTCTTCTGCTCTTCAACTGGACCCACTTCTTGATAACAGATAAGTTCTGTGAAAAATATTTCTCGCATGAAATTAGCGTGAAAGACTGTAGACGATCCTGGGGCATTGTGCTTCATACTTTCAGAGACTGGCCCACAAAAATTAGGCCGGGGGGGGGCTAAGACTCAAGTTTAGTCACATAGAGGACCCACCATGGTTGGGTCCGACGCGAAAGAAATTTTTTGAAATTAAGCCTTCTAGAATGGCTAAAAATGCATATCCCAGACTAAAATTGTCTCTGTTTTTGTCAACTTTCTTGGGATTAACCTTTATCTGCGATGTTCCTGGAAATCCTTTTCTGGATCAACGGAAAAATTAGACTGCAAAACATTTTAATATTTTGAATGTTTTTAAAAATTGAATGAAGGCCAATTTTTCGTTAGAAAATTTAAAAAAGATCACCCACCCGTCAGAATCCCAATTTTAACGACTAAAATCCCAATTTTACCGACTAAAACATAAATGTCTATTCTTGGGGTGGGGGTCCACACCCCCCCCCCCCCCCCCATGCGACTGGCCCTGTTCACACGTGTGAAGCAAGAGCTGAAGCAGAAGCAGGCGTGGAAGCAGAAGCAAGTGGTGTGTGAACACACATGAAGCAAGCACTAGCGGCAAGCACAAAGCATGAAGCATGCCTTGAGGCATAGATATAAGAATATTTGATAATCTTGCTTTACTGCTGCATCTACTTCACCTTTGTGTCACTCTTGACACAGTGTAGTGTGAACGTTGTACGCATTGCGAGCATTATGAACTGAATCACATGATAAAAATATCATTTGCATGCAACAAATATAATGTGTTGGAAGAAAATCCCTTGTTCTTTAAGATAAATCCGACAAGATTTATAGGGGTTAGAACAAAAAAACTACTTTTGAAACTGTGAGCTGCTTTCCCAGCAGGCTCAGTCAGTTGGTCAAACGTAGTGAGTTCGGAAAAACTGAGAAAGGATGGTCGGAATGCTAGAATTTTGGGACATAGTATCTTGTCAATAGGGTTGCTCTTTTACTCAGTCAGAGTAACGACAAAGAGAGTAGGACTTTGTTATTTTATTATTTTATAGTTTTTTATTTTGTTATTTTATATAAAAAACCATAAGGGATCATCGTTGTCAAAATCAAATTTAGTGAATTCTGCTCTTTCGTATGCCTTTCGACGTAGGTTTAGGAAATAGAATGGTTCATACATGAATTGGCTTCAAAAATACTTGTTCAAGCTTGAATGTTCTTAGGGAATTGGGTTACAAAGTCTGAGAAAAGAGTACATTTTGGGCAACCCAGAATCAGAGATTAGGGTCCAGTTTCTACTTTCAGGAACACACATTATATACTATTGGGAATCAGTGAATGATTATGTGCTGGGCCAACGCTTTGTCTGTCGATACAGATAAAACTCCAGGAAGGTTCCTTGGTTCTAGTTTTGAGAAATAAATAAGGAAAAAATACAGTGAGTTCATTTACATGCGAAATGAATCCTCAGTGTGGTGAATTTACATAAATGAAAAAATTCAATGAGCGGAGCGTAAATTAACATTAGTATCCTTATCGCAACAAGTTTTTGCTGGAGAATTATGAAGTCGCTATGATATACAAAATCCAGTTCTGATAATGATAATGTATAAAATTGCAATGGTGTGCGATTATGCTTCGGCAAGGTGTGGATGCCTTTTTATCTATGAAAAACATTGATGTCCAAGAAGGCGATGTACGCCCTCTTTTTCTCAAAATAATTTTATAAGAATACGACCCTCAAAATTCCGAAGTGGTGACGTCACAAAAATTATTTTCAGAATTTTTGAATTTGATCCCATAAACTGAGACAGCATTATGAAATACTTTCAAATATGCTAAATCAGTTCAATGTGACACAAATTGGCTAAGATATGGCCATATGAGCACAGGCTTTTGTCCCATCAAACCTCTGTAATTTGGTCTTGGTTCATAACTTTATGAACCAGGCCAGTAATCCGCTAGCAAACTTTAAATCTTTCATCGTCCATATCACGCCAATTTCGTTTTTATCTCGTTCTTTCACATTATTTGGTCAAAATTGAGAAATTCTAGAAATAGATTTTTGATGACGTCACACTTCGGTACTTTATTTGTGGCTCATAAATTATCGTTGAAAACTTCGGATGCAAAAATTTGCATCAGTGCCTTCTTATTTAAGAAACTTTCTTGATATCAGAAAAATTTCTTTATTCAATCATTAAGCAGAATATGGAACATTTTTACTTCGATAAGCTTTTGCTAGCTCATTCAGGGGCGGATTCAGGGTGTCGCACAGGTCGCACGGAAGACCGTCAGATTTTCAGAATTTAGTTTTAGTCTTCAGTCATTAAAATAAGGCAATCATGTTTACCACAATCTTTTATATCCCTCCTTACAGATAATACATTTACCTCTCTTTACACAATAAACACAGGACCGAACCTTGGTCGATCTCACACGCAATGCCGCGATTTAATTCAAAGACCATCCTAGACCGTAAACAGTATGATTTTTAGGCATGTCGCCCGTGCCGCACAAATATGCAGGGCTCTTTGTTATGCAAATATTTTACCAAATCTCACCAATCAAAATTCAGGTTTTCACATATTTGTGCGGCACGAAAAGTCTGTAAAAACTTTGTTAGATTACTGTGCCGCACAACTGCTGGCAAGGGAAGAAAGTGGACGAGGTTGAAAGTTGTGAAGGAGACAAATCCCAATTTTCTTTATTCATGCGGAAGCGGTGCACAGGAAGTGTACACTTCTGAATCTCAAGATATTTTGTCTCAACTGCGTGTTTGGATTTGCTGGAAAATTTGGAAAACCTTTTAAAAGGGAAAATTTTTTAGACTGAAAAATTTGAACGTTTCAGGGCCCCAGTCCCCTCAAAACTACTACAAGGCCTGCAAACCTCGTTGGTGAGGCAACTCCTAAAGATAAGGGCGTCCATTGAGGCGTTTCATCAATCAAAGTGTATCAGTCTTGCTAAGCGGGACAAATCGCAGTTAGAAAGTTGACGCTTACAAGACATGAAAATAATTTTCTAGACCAAAAATCAAGATGACTTTCTTGAAAAAAGGTGAAATTATTCCTTTTATTTATAGTGGTTGCAATAATCAACATTGTGAGCTTTAGGGTTTTTGCCCTTGAAATTAAACCTAGTTGCTCTGGTTCCGGGGGGAGTGGGGCTGGGTCCCTATCATGGCACTACCCTTGACCATGAGGGAGGCCCCCTAGACCGCCTGCTGGGTACTGTTTATGTGCGACCGTCAACTTTTATTCTGTATCCGCCCCTGTAGCTCACAGATCATTGCGACACAACCAATAAACATGCATATACAGTATACATGCATACGTGGCCGTGCGACCGTAATACTTTCCTCACTCTGCTACCACAGCCGATTGTTGCCGCAGAAGATGGGAAAATTTTAAATTTTGATGCTTCCAGTTTGCTGGAAAATGCACTCATTTAAGCAATTGTTACTACTTTATAATTCAACCTTGCTCTTAGAGTTAAGATCCACAGGCGAAAAGTTTTAATCGATTCGATTTTCTTGTAACCATTCACGTCATTCAGGCACCCAACCCTGAAACATTGTAATGTGGAGTTTGGTTATCACTGGTATCAGTTTGCCAAAATTTTTTGTTGAAAGTTGTTCAGTTTTCAGTTGAAATATTAACGTGCAGAGGGGCGAGAAAGCTACCCTGGGTACCAGAGCCTCATGAATCCGGGGATAATGTATTATAGACGACTGCGGAAATATTTCCAATCCTCGCTCAAAAAAAGTATTTCAGTGACTAGTTTTGGACTATATTTCTGAGACTAAATGATGGAGGCTCTGGCACCCAGGGTAAATGAAAATGAAAACAATCAAATATACCATCGACTGTCATTGGTTTTTTAATATATTCCACCTCCAAGTAAGCACCAAAAATGTCGAATCTGCCGAGTAGAGAAATAGAATTCATAACTCTTCAGGGAATCCCCACACCCCCATAGCACCGCCCCTGCTGACAGGAAGCCTGAGCCCTAGTCCCCAAATAGTTGAATATCCATGTGAATTAAGTTAGGGGTCTGGAACTCAGGCTACTGACAGGGCGAAGAACACGCACATGATTACTTGAAAGCAGCGGGTCTGGGGCATAGGCTAATGATAGCAGGCGCAAGTTAAGGACGTGGTGAGTAGCCCAAATTTTTAGTGGTTGTATTTTTCTTCCAAGAGACAGAACATATTCCTCGTTCCAACGGCTACCGGTAGGTTGATATGGGAAATACATTTAAGAATATTGATGAAGTGGGAAATACATTTGAGAATATTGGTTGCAGTCAATTTCTTGCAATTTTTAGAAACGTTTAACTTTTTTTAGGCATTCTTTAAGCACCGTCTTGATAACGGGCTTTGCTCGAAATTCTGTCAATAGAATTTGAACTTCCTTAGTACAATTTTATTATAGATTCAAGTTATATTATTTTGCATTGCATGACGCGCATCTAGTATATTTATTGATACTTTTGTTACATTTGATTAATTCCATTCTTAAAAAGAAATTCATTACTATTTGAGGCCCTCTAGACGTCCAGGCCCTGTGGCAAATTGCCCGCTTGCCCCCCTCTCAGCGGTCCTGATGTGTACAACAACGTGGGTATTATCAAACAATGGCCCAAGTATCATAAGCTGCAAGCCCCTCCCCCCCCCTTAATCAAGTAAAAATCATCGAATTTCAGTTCCATTCGGGCAATTTTATATCAATGCTCCTTACTTCCTATGGGTTGCATTTCGATAAAAAGCGCAGCTGATCAAATGTCGTGCATCGTTTTGTTGTGGTAGTACGCAGCTTTTGTTTGGTTCTGCAATGCCATAACTAATTCATTTACCTTTAAGGCAAGTTTCCACCTGAACGAATGCGTAATTGTTTTGAATTTTATTTTGATTTCCTAATCTGATTTGATTTTCAGTCTGAACTGGCCAGTTTGGAGAATTTTTCCGATAAATTTTCGGCAAATCTAAACCATTTTTTGAAAGCAAAACCAATTTTCAAAAATCTGGATTTCTGGAGTTTAGCTTAGCAAAAATCGAACTGGCATAGTTCTAGGTTTATGGCGCCATTAATTCTGTCAATTTGAGGGGATGTGAGCTTCCTTTTACTATGGATTTCCCAAAACTTTTGGCGAATGCCGGGAACTTTTTAGGGAATGCTGTTAACTTGTTGCCGTGGGCTTTAGGGGAAGGCTACTAACTATTTGCGATGTGAATCTTTAGCTTTCGCCATGGCAGCATGGCAGTTGAAGGCCACCGTATCTCGATCGCCAAATCGTGGTTATTCATGTGACCGCGACTTGTTGATTGCATTATACTAGCGTTATGAGAACTATGCTAGAGGAATAGGTCTTGAACTATGTAGTATAATAGAGTAGGATCGCCACTTGAATGGTGCGCTGTTAAATGCTTTCTGAAACCTAACCACGCTTGGGTTGTCAATGTTTACAAAAGTAGCCAAGTTTACTGTGTGTTCGTGTAACATAATCAAATACTTTTAGAGTTGGGATTAACGTCTTCCCTTGCTTATCAATTTTCGAAAAACATCCACCAATGCCATCCTTATTCTATACCCCCCGTTTACTTTTTTCGAAAAAATGCAAAGTATGTACAACGAAGCTCTCGTAGCGCAGGGAAGAGCACAGAAAACAAAGAGAAAGAATGTTAATTTTTGTTAATTAATGTTTAACCATAGTCATAGAAAAACTGTACTTAAACTTGCTTTTTTCTATTGACTATGATTTTACTCAGTTGAATTACGAGACTTTTTAAATTTTTGATTACAATATTATCAATGTAGGCCCCAGACCCTTTAGGGATTGTAGGTAATGTCAACTCCCGGCTTTTTACGATATAGTTAGAGATCGTCGAATCCATCACGTTATGCCTATAAACAAAAATGGAAGGTGTGTTTATATTGATTATAAACTTGCTTGCTGTGTACAAGAGTGTCTTTCTGTCACGATACCTTAAGCATTAACACTGCTTTTGCTTCATTTTCATTCAGAAGGAGCAATGGGTCTAATAAAAACGACAGTTATCGGGAGTATGACCAAGCCTGCATATTTAAAAGTTCCTTGTTGGGTGATGGATGGAAAATTCAACCCGGATTATTTTGAAGTTTATCGCAGTGCATTCACAGAGGAATATAGTTCAGATGTGGAAGATCAGCTGAAAAGAGCCACGAAAGAAATCGTTGATCTACAACAGCGGTGTGGATTAGATGTTATAACCGATGGTGAACTTAGGAGAGTACAATATGTTTACAATTTTTGTCGAAGATTTGAAGGTTTTGATTTTCATAACACCAAGGAAAAGGTTTGCCGAAACGGCTCTTGGAAAGGACATCTTCCAGTGATCGTGTCGAAAATTTTGCACAAAGATGGCCGTGGTTTCCTTGCAGGAGAATGGAAATGGGCTCAAGAAATGAGCGAAAAGCCAATTAAAGTTACAGTTCCAGGTCCAATGACGATTATTGACACATTTTATGATGATTTTTACAATGACGACGAAAGCCTTATGAAAGATTTGGCGGACTGCATTAACATTGAGTTGAAGTTGCTTGCCGAGGCAGGCTGCAGGGAGATACAGGTAACTTTTCTACCTATGGCACCAAAATACTAAGCTTAAAAGACACAAGAGGGTTGTGAATTCCTGACAATACTGTTTTCACTTTTCAGTACTGCTTTCCAACATCTAAAAGGGCATGGTCTTTCCCAGTGTTGAGCCTCAACTTTAACTAGTCTCTAGGTTGTCTCAGCTGATTGCACTGTCACAAGCAAGACAGCCCTGTCACTATATTCTCTGTCTTCCTCTTCTGGGTAGGGGTGTAAGTTTAATTTCTTCGTAAGTTCTTCTTTTAGGGAGTTGAATGAAGTCGAAATTCTGCCCTTTCCCTGTCTTGAACGCTCACAATTTTTTGGACTCAACTAATTGTTTAACTAATTTCGCTCAAAGTAGATTTCCAGTTCTTTTTTGCAGAGTCTCTTTTAACAGGCACCTCGTAGCGCTGAGAAAAGTGAGGGGGGCTATAGCCTGATAAAATAAGGATTGATTTGATGGTCGATTTTTTTAATTTTTTTTGGCGTTTTTTGCAAAGTGGGGTTTGATGTGGTGGTCGATTCCTTAATCTTAAGCCTCCAGCCCCCTTTTTTGCATGTCTGTTTAAGCAAGCAGTTTTTAGTGGATATGACTCTCTTTGATTATGCATGTTCGCTAGGCATGTTCTCAAATCATTGACAAATTTTGATTGGTCTCATTAATAGTTTAATCATTCCACTTTTTAAACAGAACCATTTAGAGACTTGTATGTGTTTTTCATTTTAACTTGCATTATTATCGTTGTGCTGCTCCAAATCATTGTTGGTGAATTATCCTATGTTTGATATATTTTTTCTGACTTTTGTTCTTTAGGTCGATGAGCCTGTTTTAACAAGATATCCAGACAGAGCAATAAAGTATGGTGTCAAACATTTGTCATCCTGTTTTGACGGTCTCCCGCGAGATGTTTTCAAAACAGTACATGCCTGTTGCGGATACCCCTTCTATTTGGTACTTGCGATTCAATGTTTAAGATATCGAGCTAGCCTAATTTTTTTCTTATTCGATTTGAAAACGATTGATATAGAAAATTGAATGGGTAGCTCAGATGGTAGAGCAACGACATAGAGTAGCGCTGGTCGCGGACATTCATATTTCCTCAAGCACATTTTTATTAATCCTTAGAGTTACATTCTCATTAATTGGCCTATTTTGATTCACAACTTGGTATGTATATTCCATCTTGTTCTTTCGGAACCTTATTCTGACGTTTTATGCTATGAGAAGTGTCAGACGAAAAAGCTTTAAGTATGTTGTAAAATGTTTGCTTTTTTCAATGCCATTTACATTATCATTATTAGATCACTTAAAATTAAAACTTTAAAAATAACAGCGACTGTCCTTGCGAACATCAGTAGCTTGGGACTTCATTGACTCCACATAGAAGCTAGCTTTTTACTTTTCTATTTGCTTGACTTAATTTGTAGAGCATTAAATTTTTGTTGTTTTGTTAAAGTTTGTTTATAGTAAATCAAAAAAATTTCATGCCAGGACCAAACAGATTACGAAAAATCGGACCAAGGAGCATATATGAAGCTAGCAAGTGTTTTGGATGAAGCAAACATTGATGCAATTGCAATTGAGGATAAACATCGAAGGAACAGTCCAGAGATGTTCAAAGCTTTTAAAAAGATAAAGGTAGCAGCCGTTTGCCAGTTTGACGCAATATTGCGTTTTCCGAATGTATAGTGTTTTCAATTTGAATGAATATTGATATAAAATAAATATTTAGAATTATAACCAAATATTATTCACTTGTTAACAGGCTGCTGTTTCAGCCAAGTGTCACTTTTATATGTTTTTGGTGTTGGCAAAATATCGTGCCCAGAAAACAAGAGTTAAAACAACTTCTGTTAATTTTCTGTCGGCGTTTGGCTTCATGAAGCAAGCAACAAATTGCTTATATAAAAGGGCATTTTTGCTCTTAAACTTGTAATATGTAATGATAATCTTCCTAAATCTGTAATATAAAGCTTATTTGGAACCTTTTTTTTCCTCTAAAATATGATGTTCTATGTAAGTCATTTTCTATCCACTGACACTCTTTACTATGAAATTTGTCAGATAAAAAAATTTAAGATAGCAGAAATCCTGGCAATCTTGAATTTTTGTTCCATTTGAACAACTGAGAATTTTTTTTAGATATGCTAACAGGACCCACGCCACGAATTTCAAGGTGGAGGGGCCAAGTTCATAACTCGAACTTGAACTTAGTGCTTTAAAACATGTCCTCTCTAGAAATATTTTTGCTTTCCAAAAATTAGGGGGGTGTTCATGGCCCCTCCTCCGCCACCCGTGGCGTGGGCCGTGACACTAGGTGTTGCAAATATCGTTGTGCAAGGCAAGCACAACAAACGAAGAGGAAGGACTACCCTGTGACAAAGAAAAAGGAGTCTCAGCACACCATATGGTCCATGCGTCCGCTGCATTCTCTGGGCTCTGCTCAAACAAATCAAAGAAATGATTTGTAAGTTTAATGTCAAATGCTCACGACCGTTTCATATGCTCTTTTGCAATCCAAAGCTATCAAATTGTTTTATTTCTATTCCAGATCGTGCTTGGTGTAATTGACGTTGTCAAAAGTCGAGTAGAGACAGTTGACGAGATCTGCGACCATATATCAGATGTTTTGAAGTACATCCCGAAAGAACGTTTGATTGTTGCTCCTGATTGTGGAATGATATTTTTGCCCCTTAACCTGGCTGAACAAAAGCTTACCAATATGGTCAAAGCAGCAGAAAGATTTTAATCTTCAGAATTAGTGTTTATAGCAAAACCTTTAGCTCAACAATTAGTATGTCTAACCACTCAATCATAAACTCAAATTTGGGAAGAGAAAGAAACAAAGAGATTCTAAACCATTAGCATTTTGTCTCATTACTTCTTGATGTAGAGTTCATAAAGAGGATTGAATGGTCTGACGTAGGCTTTGTAATAACAACATTATCTTTATAATTTGAGGCTGAAGGTTTCAAGGCCCGGTCTATTTTATAAATCTTGAGAACCCCAAGATATTGAGAGATGATAGACCTACTATTCACTGCAGTCAGTAGCGAAGCGGAGGAATCTTAGGCCCTAAGGAAATACCGAGACGGGGCCTCTATTTACGAACTGCACGAAAGTCCCATTCAACGCTGTAAATCATATGGGGCACAATCAGGGATCTAAAAATGATGATTTTTCCTCGTTACCTATTAAAAGTTGAGTTATTTGAGTAAAGACTTCAAAACATGGATTCAAAAGTAATGTGGGGCCCGTTTGGTCGGGGTTCCTTAGGCATTCAACTAAGGCCCCCTAAACTACCTCATGCCACTGACTACAGTTAGGCCCTACTTTAAGGAAATGGCCATATAAGAAACTGCAGCCTGCCAGCACAGAGTATATTTTCTCTTTGATAAGTAACTAGGCAGTCTGGTTTTTCCAATTTTTTACAAATGGTGCAAAATTGAAAAAATTTATCAAAGAAAAAGAGGTTAATAGTATTTCATACTTAATTCATTTATATTTATTTCTCGGGGGTATCCTTGTTTACTATGTAGCATGATCCTTGAATTGAAAGATTCAAGAAAACAAGAAGATATTAGACAAAACTGTTTTTAAGATGATATATAAAATATCAGTCCACCTCATTCATAGAGGTTTTCTTGCATTTAAGAAACTAGACAACCTGATGAAAAAATTTGAGTTTCTTCTTAGCAGACAGCTTGATAAAAAAATTTGAGCTTCTTCCGTGTAGGAACTTATTCAGAGGTGTAGTGCTAGGGGGCTCAGGGGGGCTGTTTAGACTGAAAATTGGCAAATTTCTACTTTTGCTTTTGGCAACATTTTGTGCAAGAGCCCCCCTTGTTATTTTGATAGCACTACATAACTGGACTTATTGTACCATTAGTTGCAAAATATTTACCTTAATTGCAGTGCATTTCAACTGCTGCAGCAAGACAGGATTGCGGCGTCAATTCAAAAAAATATTATCACTGCAACTTTGATTCCATCTGTTGTGATGTTTACATACTTTAACATAAATTATCATATTAGTATAAGGTAACCCATGTTTACATACTTCAACAGAAATTATCAAATTAGTATAAGGTAACCCATTTTATTCTATTCTAAGCGTATAAGAGCGCAAAAGCCCTGAAGAACATCCTTCAGTTATGTTTTAAAAGTTACAACATCTTTCAACGGCACGACACCATCAAATTCATCAAAAACCGCCAGATAGCTTTCTGCCTGTGGATGTTTATTTAAGAGTCAGGTTGTTGAAGTAGAAAATTCTTCAAAGAGTTCATTTTCCGACGAACGTGAATCATACATATTCGAAACTGTTGTCTACATAAATGTTCTCTAGGTGGATATGCAGAATAATAGGCTTCGAAGGTGTAATTTTTAGTGGTTTCTTACTTCGGTCACAAAAATTTAGCAAGAGAAGATTATACGGACGTTGGGGCAGCAGAAAAATGCATTTTACAACCTTTCAAAGTGAAACCTATTCACATTCTTTATTTGATACTCTAAAGGGCGTTAAACCGGAGAAAATTTCTCAGGGAATACCAATGCCCATAACAGTGTTTCAGCCACTATTCAAGGACCACATATCATATAGGGGTTGGGAGGCTGAAGCGTTTTGAGAGTTAAAGATGCGAAAGGCCGAATAAAAGATTGCTGTTGCATTGTTTTGAACACAATTTTGAAGAATCATTCTCAATGCCCAAAACTGTATGCGCTTTGTTCAAGTTCAAGTTCAAGTTTTCATTTTAAAAATTCCAACATACAAATTCCAGCTAACAACAAGTACAAAACTACATTAACAACAACAAATAATATCAAAGTATACAAAAAGAACTAAACTAATTTAAAGGAAGTTTGTAGGTATGAAATTTCTTAAGAGGAGCTCTCTCAATAGATAAACTAATCGAGGAGAGAGCACCCCCTGTACTAGAAGTCTATTATTTTATGGTACAAAAATAAAGACCTTTAGCGAACACGTCCTTCCTCCATGCCTGGACGCGAATGCCTATGGGAGCTTTTCTACTCCGTACGATTGTTTCATCTGATGCTGGATTTCAGTTGACCGGTGTTCTTTGTAGACCGGTGTTTTTAACCGGTGTTTTTAACCGGTTCTTTGATTGCCGATACTATATTTGCGTGCCGTGAGTTATTCCTTGTCAAAGGCCAGGCTACCTTCGTTGGATCAGCAACTCTAATCTCCCGATTAAACGAACAATATAAGTTTCAAGTTACTTTAATATAGATAAAATCCGCTTAAAATAAAATAATTTATGCTGAAAGCAAAACTAAGATATAACATGCCCTTCAATGATAATTGAAACAATTTAATTCAAATTTTTCAATTAATGAGCTTTCTTACTTCGTAAATACTTTGTTGAAAGGGCAATCTTGGAAACCCTTCGTGTTCACCGCCTAAAACCTTGCCAACTACTACAATGTGCTTACGTAGAACTTATCACGTGTACAGCAGGTGATTATCATTAAAACTGTGCACGTGGTTGGTTGTAAGGAGTTACTATGTCACGATAAATTTCTACGAATTCACCTGCCTTCTACTCAGATAAATCACTACCTGCCTATAACGATTGCCACTACTGTTGAGGACAGACGTCGATCTGTTCAAAATATGTCGCCACTTAAAACAACTGTCATTGGTAGCTTTCCAAAGCCTGAATCTCTAGGCATTCCGTGTTGGGTAAAGAACGGAAAAGAAGTTATAAATTTCGTGGAAGAATACAACAAGGCACTATCGAATCAACATGCGGAGGATATTGAAAACCAACTCCAAGCGGCCACTCATGATATAATTGCATTGCAGCGCAGAGTTGGTCTAGACATACTCACTGACGGAGAATTGAGACGGGAGAAATACATACACACCTTCTGCAGAAGTCTGAATGGGTTCGACTTCCAAAAAACAAAGAAAAAAATCTGCAGAAACGGTGCCTGGGAAGGGCTTTTGCCAACGATTGTGTCAAAAGTGTCACACAAAGAAGAACCAGGTTTCATGGCAAAAGAGTGGAAGTGGAGCCAAAATATGAGTGAAAAGCCCATCAAAGTGACGATTCCAGGCCCAATGACGATCATGGACACCTTTTGTGATGACTTTTACAACAACGACGAAGAGTTATTAAACGACCTTGCTAAATGCATCAACATTGAGCTAAAATTGTTAGCAGAGGCAGGATGCAAGGAAATTCAGGTAAGTGTGTATGACTTGTGTTGCACGACTTTATCCTGTTCGTTAGAACCATTGACTGTGTTTGGACGTAGGTTAATTAGCATTCATTCCGCTAGGGGAATGTAGGAGGTGAGATTTCCATCAATGGAGGCTTGGCGTGTTTTCTTTCTGAGGCGTTTTTAAAGATAAATCTTTGTTGATGCTTAGATTTACCAGATTTTCTGATGACAGTCCCTTGCTTCTGAAGGATTTTCAACATGAAACTGGGTGTACCACAGGGGTCACTCTTAGGGTCTCTTTTGTTTAAAATATTTATGAATTATAATTTTCGTGCGATGAGTCTAACTATAATCTGTAAATTTAGGCTACAGTTAGATTACCTAATGTTTTTAGGCCGTAAAAATATTGCATGTTATTTGGAAAAACCATTTTTTGCATTGAATTTAGAAAATTTTTGTTCCATTGATAATGGTTTGCATCTTTGTTTCTCAATGTTTCTGTATTGCCAGGTTGACGAGCCAGTGTTGATGAGATATCCTATGCAAGGGCTTCAATATGGAATCGAATATTTGTCAGCTTGCATCACCGGCGTTCCTGAGGAGGTCTTTAAAACAGTCCATGCCTGTTGTGGATATCCCCAATATTTGGTAATTATCAAACTTTTATCAATTTTTCCACACTATTTTGACCATAAAAATTTAGATGCTTACGTTAAACAGTAGACGTTCAATAGCTGGATATGTGCTTTATTGACACTTTTTCCGAATGTAAATGTAAATTTCCATAGTCAACCCTTTTTTTTGGGTTCAAATTAGCCCAAATGAATCAAATTCTACAAGTAAAACAGCATCAGCAAATATATGTTTCTTCAAATGTTTTCTTTTGAATCCAAAGGACCAAATAGACTATGAAAAATCTGACAAAGGAGCGTATTTGAAGTTAGCGACAAGTCTGGATAATTCTGGGTTCGATGCATTGTCAATTGAGGATACGCATCGCAGAAATGATCCTGAGCTCTTTAAGGCCTTCAAAAAAATAAAAGTAAGTGTAGATTCCAGAGCATATTTTTTAAATATCAATGAGCTCTCTATCTTAGATAGGGATGTTTGGATAAGCGGCTGTCTCAGACATTTCATCATCGCCTGATATGCTAGACATTGAAGAAGTTACATGTATTTGGGGATATACATTTTACCACTCGTCAAACAGTTAGCTGCTTCAGCCTAGGCTAATTTATGCCAAGCCTGTCCGCCACGAAACTGCAACGTTTCCTACGTACAAGATTTGCTCTCGTCTTTCTTCGTTGATTTAACACCGCTAGGGTTATAGAAGAAACGGGTGTTATTGGCAATTTAAAAGAATTCTCGTGTAATCTATACTAAGACTTTTGGCTTCTGCTTTTTCATCGTGATTCCCTTTTCTAAAATTCATATTTCTTAACGGTAGCAAATACTTTTAGATCGTCCTTGGTGTCATCGATGTGGTGAAAAGTCGTCTAGAAACTGTTGAAGAAATCCGCAAACATATATCGGACGTATTGGAATACGTTCCACGAGAACGGCTGATTATCGCACCGGATTGTGGGCTGATCTTCCTGCCTATAAACCTTGTAGAAAATAAGCTGGCCAACATGGTCGAAGCAGCGTCTAGTTTGTAAGAAAAATATTCAGAGTTTTTAGCAATTTTAAAAGTTTTGTGAAGATAATTTTCAAGTTAAGCAGATTGTGAATCAGCTGTATATTTAAACTGCTTTGTAAAATGTTTTCATTCAAGCCACCGAAAATTCCGTTTTTTCTTTTGAATTCTTTTGGCCATCAAATCATGTAAAATATCTGTTGCTTTAGGAATTTTAACACACGCTAAGAAATTTGTTTCTAGATATACATTAATAAGAATGTATCCTGTTATTGTAGCGAATCGTACATCTGGAGACTGTACCCTTGGCACTAGAGCCTAAAGAAACTGAGGATATTTCTTGACTGTTTTCAAACTGTACTTCTGAGACTAAATTATGGATTCTCTGCCACTCAGGCAGTGTGACCAAATCTCAATTTTGGAATTATGCCAAATTTGCCATTAAATTATGCTAGATTTGCAAAAATTATACTAAATTTCTAATCAAGGCAACTCTAATTTCTAATCTGTTCAAAAAAGCAACTTAGATCAATGGTTTTGACGTCCAATTTATTCCATTTTGGCCGTTTTTCAAAACTCCTTGGCCATCATAAATTGATCTGGCTTAAGAAGCAATAATTGGCACACATAGCTTTCAACATTTTCAAAAATAAATTCACAATTTCAAATGATGAAGCATTAAACAAAGTAAAAGACAACAGACAATTTTTTGTTACACACAACTTTTGTAATCTACAAAACAAATCTTGCTTACACTATCACTCCCCACAATTAGCGAAAATTTAGCTTTTTATATTTCGTTTAGCTGGCTGATTTTGGCAGCCAACGGTAAAATACTTGGCTGCCAACTATTCCAAACATCTGGCATCCCTAAAAGTAGAAAGTCACAATTTTTTACTCCTAAAATGATAGGAGTCTCGCAAAACGTCACGAGACACCAAAAGCCATCTACTTGAAAAGGTGATAAGAAGTAACTGTTTCTTATGGTCCCCACTATGTCTCGCAACAAGCTATCGTTGTATCAATCCAAACATTTTTAAACATCTATTGATACATCGACGTGTTTGTACTCAAGTATTTTTCACATTCCCATCTTTTTTTAGAATACCTATTTTTGCTGAGCCACAACATTCTTAAATTATTCTTAAAATAACAAGGTGCCACTGAGTCGCATGGTAGTGTCATAAAGACTCCAAGGCCAAATATGTCTACTTAAGACATATAGCGTGAAATTCGCATTTTTTTTGCTTTGAACAAAACTCAAATAAACCAAAAATGTGATTCTTGATTAAGCTTGAGCGTTGCATTATTTTTTAACTATTCTTAAATTTCAGCGATTTAGAGCCTTAATACTCATAGACTGTTTTTTTATAAAAAGTGTGTACCCTGAATCATATGAATGAATTAAAATTCCTAAAACAAAACTAGCGCTACTCAAGCACTACTGAATAAATCGGTTATTGAACCTCACTGCGCAACCACACTGTGCTCTGACTCTGAGCCAACAAGTAAGATAGCCTCTCTTGCTATTCGACCCGTCATTGTATCACTTTTTTCGCTTCTTAGAAATAGAAACAATTTCATGAGTTATTGAAAAATTAATTGAAAGTTGAAAACTTTGCCTCTGTAGCTAGATAAAAAAGAAGTTTTCCATAAATGCTTAAATTGGTTTTGCCAAAAAGTTCCACAGGGGAGACCATATCTTTGGTACAGTAGTCTTTGTGCTCCTTGAATTATAAAATCCGCTTCAATGTTGACCATATCCACATTCGCTCGAAAGTCAACAGCAAACTACAGCAAAATTCTTCCCGGGTGCTACAACGGAAGACATGAACCACTATGCTATACTAACGAAGAAAAGAAACCAGGAATGTTGATATTGCATGTTGGAACGAATGATTTAAAATCGAGCAAACACTTTTCGAGAGAGCTGGAAAAATACACCTTTTAGTTCGTGCACAAATCTTAGTAATGAGTGTAGCATAGACATACAAGAAAATACATCTGAATTAGATCAATCCATTAATTGATCTTTAATCCAGGAAAATAGTAATGACGATCAAAACCTGCTAGAAGAGCTCCGGAAGAACAACGCGAAGGGTTTAGTAATTGACCACCTTAACATAAACTCAGTTCGAAACAGGTTTGTTGGAGCGATCGAGTCCTGGGAATAGGGTGGTGCCCAGTCTTTCTCCCGTCGACCACTGCGTTGACATGTCTTTCGTGATAAATCGCTTGGGCACATGACCTCAAGGGTTAGTTAGTTGACTATTGTGGCTGAGTGTGTAGTAAGCACGTTTTGTTACGAAGATCACATACATAATCTCACAAATGGATTTTCTCTATGCTCTGACCTAGACTTTACAACAAGGTTTGACTCCTTTAAATTCCTAGTTGCAAAAAATGTCGATATCCTTGTTTTTAGTGAAACAAAAATAGATAGCATATTCCCTCCTGGTCAATCTTTGATAGAAGGGTTTAAGCCTCCTTTGAGGTATGATCGGAATCAGCATGGAGGAGGAATATTAGTTTCCATACGAGAAGGGATCCCATCTAGAGAATTGAAGCTTGAATTTTCTATAAATATGGAATGTAAGAAACTCTCTCGGAAAGAAACTTTCGAGGGAAGAAACTTTCACGGGAAGAGACTTTCACGGGAAGAAACTTTCACGGGAAGAAACTTTCGAGGGAAGAAACTTTCACGGGAAGAAACTTTCGGGTTTTTGCGTTTTTGGCCTAAAATCGCGAATGTTTGATACCTGAAACTTCCTGAAATACTAAATTTGCGAATACTTAATTTTTGTAAAATATCCAAAAAATTTTGCTGTTGATCGTATTGGAAACTTTGATGACGAATTATTGTTTTGAACAAATTTTAATATGGTTTCGTTGTTTTGTTGGTATCATGTGGAATAAAAGATAGAAGAAAACCACAATTGGATAAAAATGTTTTTCGCGCAAAATTCATGATTTTCATTAAAGGGGAAATGAAATGAAAAATAAAAACCAGTTGACAAGTAGTTTTCATCGTGCTGTTTTCGAATATCGACACGAAATTTGCGTTTTTCCTTTCGTTTTTCCGCATTTACCACGCAAAGTGTGAAATTTCTCCATTTCCGTGGGGGAGATGTCTGGAGACAAATTTAAGGCGCTGAGGTAAAGTCGTGGACGCGTGCCCGATCCCAAGC